ACCAAGAAAATTATATCCAAGTAGAATAATTCACACAATCATCACATACATAGAAATCATCATCAAAGTCATGGTTAAACCAATTATCACACACATTACGCATTCAAAGCAAAACGTCACATAAAAACAAATGTAACTCCAATTCGACTCATGCATGTGGTACCATTGTGAACATCAAGTTCACCTCGCTCCCGATTCAATATTTATAACCAGAGCCACGCTTCCGATCTGGACAAGACCAAAGTCCACCAATATGAACATATAGTTCACTGATTCTATTTCCACACAAGGATCAAAGAAACTAATATAAACATGTAATTCACCGCTCCTATTTCCACATAAGGACCAAAGCAACCAACTGGAGTTCAATCTCCCCATGCATGCATGTGCAAACATAACCAATTATATGCAAATTAAGATTATCACCAAACCTTAATCATACCACATATCACAATAATCCATCAAAATGAATTATCCACCGTTGCACAAACATACATATATCATCAACACAATGCAATCATATAACATTCATCAATCACACATATCACGAATAGCAAACAATGCCAAAACGTGTTATTTCTATTCATCATCCATTCATGACACATAACAAATAATATCTAAACTGCTATTCCAATCATCCAATTCCAACAAACCTAGTTCTATCTTATAGTTTATTGTGTTAGCTTTCTAACGATTTGAACGACGCCTAAAATGGAGTTACGATTCAAAAGTTATGGTCGTTACAAAATATTCCAGAAAACTTGTTGTATGAGTCGATGCAAAACCATGTATGAGTCGGTGCAAAGAATGAGTCGACGCAAAATAACTATGAGTCGACACAAAACTGTGTGACAAAACTTGCTTGCCTGGTGGGTTGTCTTGTGCCGACCCCCTTCAGTGTGAGTCGACTCAAACTTCTAAAACATGATTTTTTTCTGTATTTTAACTTAATTTTCACACGATTTTTCTTATCAAAAACACTACCCATCACTACAAAGTATCATGTTTTCCAATTTTATCAATAATCCATCATCCTAACATGAAGGTATTCATTCTATTCTATTCAACACATCAATTTCTATCAAATTCATAGATTTCTACACAAACCCTAACATGTGAGAGTTTAGATCTAGAAATTGAAAATCAAATCACACCTAGAATGTTACTACCCATTGCATACCATACACATCCATAATAATAAGGATTCTCCCCTTACCTCTTGAAGATTCACGTTAGGTTTTGACTTTTCTCTCTTCCTCTTTCTCCTCTTCTTTTCTTGTTCTTCTCTTCTTTTCAAAAATGAGAGTTCTAATCTATTATCTATCATAATCCTTACTAACTATAGTTATCTTATTGAGCTTAGTAATTCACACCTCCTTATTACTTCTATTTCTCATTATTAGGCCCAATTAGCTATTTTATATTCTTACTCATAAACTCAATTATTCAAATAACAAATATATTCTAATAATTCAAATATTCACCAAATCACACAATTAAATTAATTACCATAAAATATAATAATTAATAAAATAATTAAATAATACTAAATATAAATTGGGATGTTACTGGTCATTGTCACTTCTGACCTTGACAATCACACTCATCTTCTCCTCTTGAATGCTTTGACACAGACATTTGAAAACTTCAAAAATATTTGATTTTTCTCTAAAGAAAATCATCCAAGTATATCCAGAAAAGTCATCTACAACCATAAAGACATACCTTTTTTCTCCTAGGTTGTCTATTTGTAATGGTCCCATTACATCCATATGAAGAAGTTCCAACACTTTGGAAGTAGTTTCATGTTGCATCATTGGGTGTGACATCATGATTTGCCTTTTACTTATACACTTATCACTGAATTTTCTTTCTTCGATCTAGATCTCATGCATATCTCTAATGGGTCCTTCATCTATGACTTCCTTCATTCTTTTGAAATGAAGATGTCCAAGTTTCTGGTGGTTTATCTTCACTTCATCCTCATTGGTTTTCGAACATGTGGAAGAGTAAGCAATTATTTGAGATTCCCACAAATAGCAGTTGTCTTTGGACCTTATGCCTTTCATTAGAACAACATCTCTATCATCTTTGACCAGACATTCTAATTTAGAAAAGATGACTAATATTCATTGGCCACACAATTGACTAATGCTAATAAGATATTAGTTAATCCTTTCACAAACAACACATCTCCTAAACTGGGATAACCAACACACATCAGCTTACCAACTCCTTTGATTTCTCCTTTAAACCCATCACCAAATATGACAGAACATGTAGGATAAGGTTTGACATTCACCAACTTCTTATGGAACCCTGTCATATGTCTAGAGAATCCACTATTAAAGTACAAGTCTTCACTAGTTGAGTCTCTCAAGGAAGTATGATCTATAAGGTTAATATCCCTATTTTCAACACTTCTATTTTTGCTCACTTTATTAGCCTTAGAACAAACTGAAGATTTTTCATCTACATACAAAAAGGGTTTATATGACCAGACTCACCATAATAGTGACATCTCCAAATAGATTGATGTTTATTTGAAGATTAATCATATCTATCAGGATGTTGTAACATGTGTTTGGACATGTTGATCTTTTTCTTATTTTCAGAAGGAAAGAACTTTTCTTCTGACATCCTTCTTAGTTTATTATCAGATTGACAATGAACTCTAACATATTCATCCTCTTTCACCATATTTATGGAATCAATCAAGTTATCAAGCTTGGATTTTAAGCGAGTTACCTCCTTTTGTAGACGAGACACAATACTTTAGAGTTTCTTTCTCTCATTCTCCAAATTAACAATGATCTTCCTTTGTTCTTCCTCTTTCTTGAGGCTTTCATCATACCTGTCACAAGTATCCTTGTAGGACACATCCAGGTCTTCATAAAGATCATTCTCATCATAAGCTTCAACTTCATCTGCCCATCTTCCAAATAGAGCCATCACAAGTTTGGCAGACTCAGAATTATCTTCATCTTCTGACTTATCATCATCAGACCAAGATGTAGTAAATCTCTTATGCAATTTCTCGAGGAAGTTGGGATATTTAGGTCTAATATGACCATATCCTTCACATTCATAATATTGAATGCCTCTACCTTGAATTGACTTCTCTTTTATTCTTATTTTCTTCTGAGAATCAATATTGTTCCTGATGTCATATGAGATGTTCTTGACATCTTGTCTCCCTCTTCCGTCCAATCTCTTCAAAACTCTATTGAATTGCTTCCCTAGTAGCACAATGGTAATAGAAATCCCCTCATCAGTGTCTATATCAGTTTGACCTTCATCATCTTCAGCATTTGATACAAAATTTATGCCTTTGTTCTTTTTCTCAATCTTGTCACTAATAGCCAATTCAAAAGTCTGAAGTGACCCAATAAACTCATCAACTCTCATGTTGTTGATGTCATGAGCTTCTTCAATAATTGTAACCTTCATGTCAAATCTCTTAGGTAAGGACCTAAGAATCTTTCTAACCAGCTTTTCTTCTGACATCTTTTCTCCCAAAGCACTTGATGCACTAGCAATTTCAAGAATCTTCATCTGATATTCCTGAATTATCTCATCATCATTCATCTTCAAATTCTCAAATTTGGCAGTGAGAAGCTGAAGTCTTGAAATCTTAATTTTAGAGGTACCTTCATAAGTTGTCTTGAGAATTTCCCAAGCATCCTTGGCTACAGTACATGTGTTAAATAACCTGAAGGCATTCTTGTCTACTCCATTGAACAAAGCATTCAAAGCTTTGGAGTTTCCAATAGCCTCTTTATCATCAACTTCATCCCAATTTTATTTTGGTTTTGTAGATATACTTTTCCATCTTTGTCCTTCAAAACAGGATGTTCTCATCCTTTCAAAATAATCTTCCAAGCTTTATTGTCCATGGATTTCATAATAGCTACCATTTTAACCTTCCACCAGTCATAATTTGAATAATCTAACATAAATGGTTTGTTGTTATACCCTCCTTCTTTCTCCATAGTACCAGAAAATGATTGAATCTCATCCAATAAACAGAACAGAGTGTCTGCTCTTAATACCAATTGAAATTATGACACTGTAATAACAGAAGTCAAGACTGATGTGTCAACAACACACAATGTCATGACATATGTTATAACATCTGCTGACAACAAACATACTTGCTAAAAACAGAAAGATTATGCATAAAATAAATTGTAGAAATTTAAAAAACACAATCAATTGTTAACCCAGTTCGGTGCAACTTCACCTACTCTAGAGGCTACCAAGTCAGGAAGAAAATCTACTATTAGTAGTATCAATTTGAAGCCTAAACAATCACAGTTTATAACTTCTCACTTAATTCATACCGAATACAATTTATACCTAGGAACCTTCTAGATATGAGAACCTCTCTCACTCCCTATCACCGCAATAATATCAAGCAATCTCAATCCTAAAGAATATCTCAAGAAAACAAAAAAAGGAAGATTAGTCTTCCAATACCAAAATCTTATGTCAATCATGTGTACATCTATATTTTGTTTGGACTTTGTTCTCTATCTTAATATTATTTTTGTTTAAAATAAATTATATTTTACTAAAAATAGTAGTAATGGATTACTCTTTAGACCATATTTTAAAAGTTTATATTAAATTAATTCATATGATAATGAAACTTCAATAAAAGTATTTTTATTTTTCTTAATCCATAGAAATATTGGAACGGAGGAATAGTATGTGCATGTTCTTCATGCCATGTACTTAGATTAGTAGTCGTGGTACTAGTATGGATGGAAGAAGAAAAGATATGTAGGGGGCGTATCAATTCTCACATGTTCCCGAAAGTTAAAATTCCCAAACCATACTAAAACAAATGTAATTCACGAGATGTAATAAATAAGGCCTCTAGCTTATTTACTTCATCAACACCGCATGATGGCTTTCGAGATTCTATACTCCTATATAAATTATAACCGTCAAAATCAGAGCCTAGACTTGGTGTTTGATATATACAGCGAGCACAAATGGAGTACAGCAGTGTAGAATCGTTTGATCTGAACGGAGTTCAAATCAAGACTGCTATCATTGATATAATGAATAAGAAGATGATTGATGAGCATATATCGTCTCTCTTGCGCTCTGCAACTGAGAATAGAACCTATGTAATAGGGTTTGATATCCAGTTTGTTTTTAACACTAAGACGTACAACCACTATAAAGCTAGTTATCGGTCTCGATGCGCAAATCTCAACTTCTGTGTTGGACATTCGTGTCTTATTATTAGACTAAGACAATTTTTTGATTTTAATAGATGGTCAAGCTCCTTTACATCCGTGCTTAATCTTCTTACTGTACCGGATTATACCTTTGTGGGTGTTGGTATCAAACATAATTTGGCCAGGTTGGAGGAGCAGTATGGGATTGGGTGCATGAATGCAGTGGAACTAGGACCATTGGCTGCTAGTCTTATGAATAAACCTCGTTTGAGTTATTGTGGCGTCAATGAATTGGCTTTTGTGGTCAATAATACTGATTTAAGGAAGTATAGGCCTGTAAGCATGGACTTTGATTGGGGTAGCGTTCCCCTTAGACCTGAACTTGCTAAACTTGCTACTGTTAATGTTTACTCTTACTACAAGATTGGGAACACATTGCTTGGCTGGGATGCGTCATTCCCATCTGAGCCTTTGTTTGATGAATAAGTTACATAGTTGAGTTTTGTTGCTTACATTCTACTCAGCAAAGGAAGATTTGTATTATTTTGTCCAAGTTTATTCAAAGTTAATTAATATGATATTATTAATATAGGGCTTCTGTCACTTTCAATTATCGTTTTTTTAGACTTGGTTATCTTCTCGTGTGATATACTTTTTCCGTCCTAAAATATCAGAAGAAGAGATGTATTTTTTTTTGTCCCAAATTAAATGTAAATTACATTTATCAAAGTAAAATTAAATAGAAATCGCATTTAATTTATATTCTCTGAGATCTTTTTTATAATCAATAATCAATTAAAATTATTTTTATATTTTTTTAGGTATTTTATTTTAAGATTTCTACAAGTCAAATAATGATATTCTTATTTTTTTAATAAAAATATTTTTTTATTTTTTCTTTTATATTTTATATTTTACAGAGAAATAGTTGTATGTCGCACAGATTTTTTTATTTTCTAATTTTCATTTCGTTTAGATGATTAAATTTGTACCATGAAACAAACTTACAATTTTTAAATACTCTTTTTCTACTTGTACTGAAATGTATTTGATTCATACTAATAATTAGAAAATGAACATGTACATGCATTTGAACAATACACAATTATAATTAGAAATTCTACTTCAAAATTGGCAATTAACAGCCTTCACCAAGAGGTTCAAATATTCTAAAGAACCTATACTAAACCAACATATTTTATACCCAAACTCTCTTAAACACTATTAAAAACCGACCCTACTCTTTTTTTTTTGGTAAGAACCGACCCTACTTTTTTATCCCAATTAAAAAACTTGTTTTGATTATTATTATTATACCAATTTTTTATATCATTTATTAGTTTGCCTTTATTAGTTTATTGATAAGAAACCTTTTCATTCGTCAGCTTGTAAAAAGGGGAATTTTATTTCCAAGTCCTAGGAATTTTGTTTTGATGAGCTGAGAAAAATGTAATTTCTTATGTTCATGGAGGTTCTTTGATGCTTAGAATCATGGGTGAAGTTGAGAATGTTTGCGGTAGGATTAAAGATGAATTTTGGTGTTAAGGATGTTATATTTTTTTGAGTTTCAAATATTTGACACTACTACAATTTTTTTTTTTTAATCTCGAACGTGAAATGCATATTATCTTAGTTAAATAATCTTAGATAACGAATGATGTCATGATAAGTCATTATTTATCACCTCGATAGAATAATAATCGAGAGGTAAAGTTATATGTTCATGAGTTCGAATTCTAACAATTTCATTTTTATTATTTTCAAAATTAACGTATCTAATATCTCGGTTTACAAATAAAATCGATGGTAAGATTAATTTTTTTAATCGTTACATTGTTTACCCAAAATAGTAATACATTAATTTATTTACAAAGTACATTGCTTACCATTAATATTACATTGTTTACAAAGATTATTACATTATAAATTAATTTCTATCAAAATCTAGATTTTAGATCTTCGAATAAATGTTAGGTGCATGGAAGACAAAATGTTGGGTCCAAAATATTTTCTATGACTTTTCTTGTATTTTGTCTCTGATATAAAACAAAACAAAAAGTTAGATAAGTAAGGGTTAGATAAATAAATGACTTTCTGTTAAAAAAATATTTACAGAAAACAAACCTTAAACCAAATAATTTTCTGCTTTTGCAATCCATCGTAGAAAATTTTCTGCTCCCAAAAAAATAAAGGTCTTTAGGTTTCAAGCGCATCATGTTTTATTTAGGTTAGATTTTTAATTTTTAACAATGCTTTTATAATAGATGCCCCTTAGATTTCACGTGGATCCCTAAAGGCAGAGTCTTGAACGTTGATAATCATTAAATGAACGGCTAAGATTTCTTTAAAATCGATGAATATAGTTTAAAAAACGCTTAACTATCCACTCGCTTACGTCAAAAACCGATGTGAGTATATTTTTTAAATTAAAATATTAGATTCTCTTACGTCTCTGTTTTGAAAGAAAACTTAGGGGTAAGATTAAATTTCTTTTAACGAATATCGTTATATTGTTTACCTAGAATATTAATACATTAATTTGTATATAAAGTACATAGGTTACCCAGATTATTAAAATACATTGTATGGAACAAATCTTCGTTGATATCAAGATTTAGTTCTCCTTAAGATTGTCCAGGTCCCATGCAAGATGTTAGAGATCTGTTTCCCCGCGAGAATCTTTATTTTTTTACTGATAATCATCTTTTGAAAAGTTAAGCCCCCTTCTTTGTTTAACTGTTCAAAGGTTGAGATCCCTTCTTTGTGTAACTTGAAGCAATAATGATTTTCTACACTTGCAATATATCAAATGAGCAAAAATACAACAACAATAACATCAACACCATTATGTGAGATAAATTACAATGAGAAAAACAATGTTTTGTTCTAGATAGAAGAACATTTAACTTCTTTTTTTGTCTTGCAATCCATCCTAAATAATGATGCATGTGAGTTTGGGGTGACTTCATATTAGTAAGGATTAAGGTAAAATCTATTTAACAAGTGCTTTTATATTAAAATCTGATTATTTTATCCCTCAGTTTTATCGAAAATCGAAAGGTTAGATCATTTAGGTTACACTTATAGAAAAATAAAAACATAAACTACAATGGCTAGGAGTCGAAATGTGTCCTGATTTGTTTTTCCCCTCGATTATTTTAAAAACCAAGGGAATATTTGATTTTTTTTATTTTTATATAAATAAAAGATGGTGTGCTCTGGCATTATACCTCAGTTTTTCTTTCGGTGAGGTGAAAACCTTGTCATAAAAGTGTTATTTGTTGTAGTGTGAATCGATTCAGGAAACATTTGAATCAATTTAGGGGGTTTGAGTTGAATCATATATGGTGTTTGAGCATGTGACTTTGGTTAGGGGTTTATGATATGTTATGTAAGGCATGACGTTTCTTTAGGTTGTACATGAATTGAAATAGTCGGGTAGTAAAAAGGATGAATCTTAATTACCTTTGTATAGTTAACAATTGAGTAATACTTGTACATTCCATTACCTACGAGCTACGTGGGATTGTTACATTCATGACTCACTTTCAAATGTAAGGGACAATGCATGTCTTATCTCATTGGGTGGCAATAGAATAGATTGAATTCCATAGGTTATGCTTATTGGAGGACATATGTGGTCATTGACTGCGTGAGTTATATATGAGTTATACAATTATGGACATTTTTCTTTATTTTATAGAGTCTTAGTGAGTCACAATACTTAACCGCACGAGTCAAGGTTTAAGTAAAATCACTACATCTATATTGACTTGGAATGCATATATTATTTCAGCATGCAATTAATCAAGCATGTGAGGCTAATTAGGTGGATGTGAGGTACTCTGATAGACTTTTCAAGAAGTCCTTACCAAGTATAAGGATAGTGAGAGATTCAATGGTTTAGATTAAGAACCCACTGAGATTAGTATCCCATTCCACATTGCTGTATTATTTTTAGGCATGACAACACAATATGTACCCATGGGGATCCACCCAAACCCGCCCTGAGTTTGATGGATAAAGCCTGCTTTGACTGAGTTTGAATTTGAGTTTTATCCGATTGCAAAATATGGAGATGAGTCGGATAATGGGTGTAGAGGTGAAAACTTGAGATTAAGTTATTGATTAACTTAACCCACAAAGTAAAAGTCACCACCCCACTTTATTGTTTCCAAAGGAATGGGAAAAGAACGAATAAAACCCACAGAAGTTTTAAAACAAAACTAATAAAATAAAGAGATATATGTAAGGGGGTTGCTTATGCAAAGGGAAGATGTTATCACCCTAAACACCTGGGACTCCACAGGAACCTCTTTGAAAATCTATGTATCTGGCTAAAAAGTCTTGTTTGCAAAAGATTGTAGAGATGAGAAAAGAAACAGTTTTTATGATTTTGATCTGGAAAAACTTTAATGAGTTTTGTGCCTATGTACCACCAATGTGCAATGATGAAATTAGGACCACATATTTCTTCTAAGAAAGAGCAAATTTGTTTGTTGGTTAATTTTAAATGAAGAGACATTTTGTCATCTTAAGGAGAATACTCAACCAAATATCCATAAACATGAGAATAATAGACCTTTGCATCAAAAATGAAAGAAGTGCTCCAACTTGGATAACTCAGCAAGTACTCCACTTGATCTTTCAAGTGGAAAAGATTCAACATCATATCAATCACGGTTATGAACATGGAAGAATTACATCTCAACTATGGAGACGACTCATGTCTAATCTTAAGAAAAATGTTTTAAAAACAAAAGTCAAAATGGAAAAATGATTTGGATGAGTTTTATGTTTTTTATTCTTAGAAAAAAGTTTAACTTTGATTAAATGGATTAAAATTTGATTAAGAAGAAGGTTTTTAAAATGCACTTGACAAAATCAAGGTTTTTAATGAAAGTTGTTGAAGTTTGAAAACAAGAAGGTTTTGGAAAAAAGGGAGAAGATGGGCAATAGATGAAGGGACTATCCTAAAGAATAAAGTAAAAGTTAAGGTAGAAAATATCTAACCAAACAAGAAGTAAACAACTTGACATAAGTCAACAATGCATCACATTCCCTTTGAAATAAAGCCACACAAACAAGTAATGAGCATCATATGAACAATTAATGCTTCAGGTGCAAACTCGGCATAGATGAATCACAAAGGAGTGCATATGACTTCTCATGTATCATATGAACTTGATGTCTTAGATGAATATTATTGCATCAGATAAATTTCAAAGTAACACATGCACACATAAAAGTTCCCAACAAACAGACAAAAACACAACCAAGGTCTCAGATGAATCAAGATCACAAGGTCCAAAGGGAAGTCCAGGTTAAGGTCTTATCCAAAGTCCAAAGGTCCAAATCTCCAATATGCAAGGGATAATAACCATAGTCCAAGAGCGTTAGAAATCTTTTAATGCTTAAGCCTTTATTAATGTCTTTTAAGAAAGAAGAAAAATGCTCAAGGAGCAAAATAAAAACGACATAAAGAT